TGCAGCCCTTCCGGGTCCGCAAGCTGTGCACCCACTGCCTGCGGACTCTCCCGCCCTGGGCCTGGCTCTGAGTTTCCCCAAACTGAGGGCTCAGGAGGAGAGAAGGCTCTTGGGGGTCAGGTGCCCGATCCCTCCCGGGCACTGCAGGGATCATTTCCTTTGTTCCTGGCGACTCTACACATGTGGTTTGGCCTTTGGATTCCGTGGTGACAATTTTGAAGGGACTTTGCAATGTCACGTTGGTGCTGCCCATCCATCAGGAAACAGTCTCAACTCCCAGTGAAGTTTTCATAGCAGAGGTTTTAGTGCTTTATTCCCCAGTTGTTAACATGAAGCTCAAAATGGAACTGCCGATGGACCCAGCAGATCCCACTTCTCAGAATATATCCTCAGAACTCGAAACACCAATCAGAAAGATTGTTCATAGCTAAGTCCTGGAAACAGCCCCAGTGCCCATCTGTAAATGGTTGGGTAAACAGCTGTGGTACATTTACACCAGGGAATACTATGCAGCTTTGAAAAAAAGAAGGACCCCTTACCCTTTGAGACAGCATGGAGGCACCTGGAGCATATTATGCTAAGTGAAATAAGCCAGTCAGAGAAAGACAAATATTCCATGATTTCACTTATATGTGGCATCTAATGAACAATGTAACTTGATCAAAAAAATAAGTCCAGAGGCATGCTGCATGGAACAACTGGACAGATCTCAAGGAAGGGGGCGGCATATATGCATAGGTCAAAGCCATAGATACTAGTGAGCAGAAGGCCTGCAATGGGGTGTGTGTTGGGTGGAGGGGAGTGCATATAGGTAGAGATGAAGGTCATCTGTAATAGTGTAAATTATAATACAAAAAGTACAGTATTATCTTGAAGGGGAAGGCTATACATATAATAATAAAAGGGTAATATGCTAATTAGACTGGTCATCCTTCTGGACGTCCTTTCAGACGAAGCCAGGGCTTTGAGGGAATCCCGGGTCCCATCTGCCAGAGGGAAGGTGGTACTGGCAGATTGGGGAAGGAAGGCCTATTTTTGCATGAATTTCATGCACCGGGCCTCTAATCAATATATATAAAAGCCTAAGGGACCAAACTAACAAATGACCGGTTGACTGGTCAACTGGTTACTATGACACACACTGACCACCAGGGGCAGATGCTAAAGACAGGAGCTGCTCCTACAGCGCGAGTTCCATTCTGTTTACATACGTGAGCCAGAAGCCAGGATTACTGCTGGCGAGCAAAGCTGTGCTGGTGCGAACCTCTCCTGTCTCCGTGGTAGCACTACCGAGTGGCAGCAGGCGCTTGGGGCTGGCATGATGAGCAGGAGTGGTGCGGCGCCAAGCCGGGGCTTGGACTCCTCCTCAGTCACTGCCACTTCATGCACTACTACATTTCTTCGGGGATGTCAGACTGCCGGATTCGGTCCCATCCCGCAGCCTGGCCTGTGAGAGGGTGCATCCCCAGCAGGGTTGCACGAGGGCTCCCTCTTCTCCACATCCAGCACTTGCATTTTTCTGATGATTAGTGACTTTGTGAATAATAGTGGAGTGAAGGCAGACTCTGCAATAAATGGTGCTGGGAAAATTGGACAGGTAAATGCAAAACAGAAGCAAAG